GGCTTGTTCCACAAGGCTTGCTCAGCCTGCTTTCCTGTACAACCCAGGACCACCTGGCCAGGGATGGCACCCCCCACAGTGGGCTGAGCTCTCCAACTTCAAACATGACTCAAGAAAATGTCCCCACAGGCTTATCTATGAGCCACTCTTATGGAAGCATTTTCTCAATTAAGCATGTTCTCTTCCCCAATACATCCAGGTTTGTGCCAAGTTGACAAAAAACAGCCAGGACATCCAGTGAGTTCCATATCTAGATGTTGTGTGACATGAATTGCAGGAATCTAAGGGTCACCTTACTGTCCAGAGATGACCTTGAACTCACTATATAGAGGATCTTCATACAGTTCTGTAAAAAAACAGGAAGCAACACCCTCACCCCAAGCTTCAATGTTTCCCATCCTTGTTGAATACAGCATAGAATATGCTGCAGAAGAGGGGGTGGGTTTCACGTACACTTTGAGGTCCGTATTAGTTACTCTTGTGTTGCTGTGACCACAAAGCCAGATAGAAACAACTTATGAGTTCCTTTAGCTCGTGGTTCCAGAGGGTCAGCCCCTGGTTCCTGAAACTTGAGCAGAACACCATGGTAACAGAAGCAGATGAGGGAGGAGCATCTTAGTTACATCACAAGTAAGCAGCAGAGAGTGAGGAGCCTGGGGACCTGATGGATTTCTATGAGGCCATACTTCCCAGCTTCCATAGCCTTCCAAAGAGTACCGATATCTGAAGAATGTGCATTCAAGACACAAGAGACACATTTGGTATTCAAATCATAATCCATCTGACTGCCGATCACCAAAAGGCTCTCAGTCACCTCATAATGTGAAATGCATTTAGGACTTCTTCAAAACCGTAACAGCTTCAATATTTCTGAAAAGTCCAAATTCAGTTTCTTCTGAGACTTAAGGCAAATTTTTAGCTGTGGGTCTCTCTACGATACTTGCAGAATATAATGACACAGTGTAAATACTCTCAACCCAAAGGGGGCAGATGAGGGAACAGGAAAGGACTGGGCAAAAGCGAGACCCAAGCCCAGTAGCACAGACATTAAATCTTGTAGCCCCATGCCCATCATCTGGGATATGTGGTGACAGGTTTAGTTCCAGTGAGCGCAGGTTGCCCTACTCCACATGGACAGTCTTTCTCTTGGTTGGCTCTACTCATTGCCTGTGGCTTTTCTCCACAGCCATACCATTATTAGCATCTTCAACACTCTGAGGTCTTTGTCGCGGTTCAGGCTTCAGCCTCACAGCTTTGTGCATCGGAGCCGCAGGGACCCTAACCTTGCCTCGCCTTGCCTGGCCTTGTATCGTTCATGATCCTGGAACTCTCTCTGTATACCTACAAAACCAGTGCGGCATGGCTAAGGTCAAGGTCAGCTGCTGACTTGAGCAGTATCTGGGTCCCCTTGGACCACAGCCTCAATGGTTTCTGAGTACCTGGGCGGCTGAACCTGGGAAAACATTGGCCTGTGCAGCCTGCCTTAGCCAGGATTTCTATTGCTGTGATGAAACAGCACTAACAACCTGGGGAGGAGAGGGTTTCTTTCTCTTACTCTTCTATACCCCAGGCCGTCATCGAAGGCAGTCAGGACAGGAACTCAAACAGAGCAGGAACCTGGAGGCAGGAGCTGATGCAGAGGCCGTGGAGGAGTGCTGCTTACTGGCTTGCTCCTCATGGCTTGCTCAGCTGCTTTCTTATCTAATCCAGGATCACCAGTCCAGGATGGCACCACCTGTCATGGATTGGACCCTCCCTCATCAATTACTAATTAAGAAAATCAGGTTTGTCTACAGCCAGATATTATGGAGGTTTTTTTTTTTTTCAACTGAGATTTTTTTCCTTCTCCTATGATTCTAGCTTGTGTCAAGTTGTCATTAAACTAGACAGCACACAGCTCTCTGTCAGTAGGAATCCACCCACTGTAGGCCTCAGATGCTATCTGACAGTGTTCTTAGTCCACTGGTTGATTGGAAACTAGGGGGTCTGTTTGTGCGTTCCAAAGGATTTACCTAAGGGTCACAAAGATGCTCTGTCCTGTACAGAGGAGGACAGCCAGGGACTATTTAAATGTCTAAAGATGCTCCCAGGTGAAGCGGCTCTAGACTTGGAGCATTCTAACCTCTCCACAACACCCCAGTTCTAATCAGTTAGCCCAGCCTTGCTGATGGCCCATTGGGAGGTGCAGCTCTTCACAGCAGCCTGCATGGACGGTGGCTTAGCCAACTGTAAAAGGAAGGGAATTAAAAGCAGGGTCTGGGATGGGAGCTGCAATTTGTATGAGGTATATCCCAGAACAAACTGGAGACTAAATTTAGTAAATATTAATGTGCACGCATGCATGCCAAGCAGATCATCCCCAGCTGTACCCCTGCTGTAGCTCAGCTCCCCCAACTCAGCACTCAGGTCAACTGTGCTCTCATATCTGAGTTCAAGACTCTAGTACTGTATATTTACATTATTTATTTTTCTCCTTGCTCAGAAAACGAAATGACAGGATCCTTTCTCCCTCACATGCCAGCAGGCAGACTCCTCACCACCTGCTGTAAGTCGGCCGCTTGTCTCTACCTGGCAGCAGCAGAACCTAGTGTAAGCACTATTGACCTTCATCACAGCGCTTCAAGGACAAGCGGGAGCCCAGGGAGGAGCGGGCTTTAATTTTAAAGAGGCCAGAAATGTATGAGTGAGTGTCTGCTGGTTTGCATTAATTTGCTGTTCTGTGTTTCCAGCAGCTGTTTCTGGTTGCCCTGGTTACTCCTGTGACGTTGCTCTGGCCCTGTGTGGTCACTCAGTAGAACTGCCCGGAAGAAGAAAGACGGAGCCCCAGACCTCACACCTGGTACCCTTCTAGAGGACGAGGAGAAAATGCTGTCAATCAGATCCCCATGGGACTTGGCTGAACCTAAGGATTCCTGGGAGGTGGCAATAAAGGACAGATCATTTATGATACCTGTTGATCTTCAAAGAGAGTAAAATTGGAATAGTTCATGTCTGGGGTTTCAGGCCTGGGCTAAGACTTATGTATTTAATAGTTTTGGAACGTAAATCATACCAGAAACTTCTCTTGACAGTGTTCCTTGGATTAAGATCGGCTAGATGGAACTGCTAGGCTGAGGCAAATTTGTCGTTCTGCTCTATATAGGAATGCAAAAGGGCAATGTGAATACCGTTAAGAGGTTTTGAAAGGCATCTCTGTAATAGCAGAACTAGAGACATGATCTTAGAGAGAATAAAGAGGGAAAGCCGAGAGAAAGGGCTCCACAGAACTCAGGCAGAGATCGGGGACTTCAAAATCAGGAATCATGGGCTTCCAATCCTTCGGCAAGCAATTCTGTCCAAGTTGACAGCAGGCACATTGAGAGGAGGTTCAGCGTGTTTTCACAAAGGACAAGGGGCTTGCTGAGAAATAGGACCGCTAAGCGGTGATGCCTGTGTGGTTTCTGTCACACTACGAGGGCTTTTTTTGGAAGTCAGAGAGAAAACACAAGAAGGAATAAAAAGAGTCAAACGCCCTTTTGCAATTTTCTCTGTGCTCCTGGACTGGAAAGCAGGTTTTCACTTGATGAATAACCGCAGGCTCTGAGATGACTGTTATCTCCATTGAGTCCATGTTGAGGCAGAATTCTACCCAACTGTTGTGAGGCAGCGAGTAACATGGAGAGTGAGGTCGACATTAGCATATTCAAGAAACAGTTGGCACAGAGACTGGAGGTTCTTTGCCACAAAGGCCAATATGTACCAAATAGAGCATGAACAGAAAAGGCCCATGCTGTGTGAACGACCCCAAAGCCTGGGATATAAAAATTCCCAGCAGTTTGTACAGCGTTCACCAATGAACCTTTAATGGTCCTCTCAGCTCTGGCCTCTTTCTGCTCCTGGAAGGACATCATTTCTCCACAAACTATCTCTGCTTCTGCCATTACCCATGTGTCTCTGTTCAGGTTTTGGTTCTGGGACACAAGAAGTTGGAAACCCCAGTGGAGACTCACTGAATCCTAAATCCACCGACAGTTGGAGATTGGCTAAACAAAGACTCTAGTAGGTTCCAGTCATGCCATATTAAACATCGTTGCTTCCACAAGACGTGAATTATCCTATGGTGGCCCAAATGGGAGATGGAATGGTCATTTCTGCCTTGATGGGGTGAGGAGCAAAATGCGTACAGAGGAGGAACGCTTTCAACTGAGTCTTGGAAGAAGAGTAGATAGATGCCGGGCGGGGGTGGGGTGGGGTGGGGGGTGGGGGGTTAGAACACCAGACAAACACCACGAAAAGTAGGCTGCAGCACAGCCAAGAACAGCGAATGACATAGGCTGGTGTTTGTAGCTAGAGTTTTTCTGCCTTGCCCACAGTCAGTACAAATCTTTGTCATCCGCCAGTCCCACAGCTGCTCAGACCCAACCAAGTAAACACAGAGACTTATATTGCATACAAACTGTATGGCCGTGGCAGGCTTCTTGCTAACTGTTCTTATAGCTTAAATTAATCCATTTCCATAAATCTATACCTT